GTCCCTGTGGAAACGATCTTGGTACTATACCACTTTATTACTTGAAGCGATCTTAGTGTCGGCGTGCACTTGCACCGCCACTTTGGGGATTTTATGCCCACTGTGTGCACACTTACGATTTTAGCACATCAAGTTTTTGGCGCCGTTGCCGGGGATTGGCACGATTTTTATCCTGAGATATTGATTTTTATTTGAGCCTTGGTCAGTTGTTTCATTCGCTGTTCCTGTGTTGTATGCCACGGCTACAACACGGTGATCTTGTACCTCTTGATCTTGAGTTAGAAAGAACAATTAGGAGACGAAGAAGAGGTAGAAATAATCGGCGAAATTCCAACCGTACCATGGGGGATAATCCACTTCCTCGGGAAGCCACGGTTAATATTGCCGATGAAATTAATGCAAAATGAAATACAATTGTTTGGTAATTATTTACAATGAAATTAAGGCGTTAATGGTTAAGTGAGACCCATAATACAAAATCATTCAGAGAATTTTAGGACCATTAAAAAAAATATTAAAAAAAATTCACCTCTTAACGATTCAAAACTGTCTTTTAATAAAATTTTTAGGTCGATTAGAAATTATTATTTTTTCATATTTGTAGATATTAATCGATAAATCTCCATCATATCTTGTACCGAAACAAGTGACAGAACATTTTGTCTCGTGTCGGTCACTGTATTACGCTCTCCACTCCAAAAAACAATAGCAGGAGGGGGGTAAAGATTGAAGAATACTTGCAATTGCACACAACACAAATCAGCTGATTGTTACTGCTTGGTAGCGCCACCGCGCCACCGCACCGCCGCCGTATTTCGCCATCTCAGCTCCGTAAGTAACACCTCTTTCTCACATATCTTTGCTTCCTTCGATAAATTTTGGTTTGCTGTTCTAAAATTTTCATGCTCATATTATTAAATAATTGCAAAGTTACAGACATTGCTCTTGTAATGTTGCTAGATCTAATCAAATACGCAATAATTTCTTCACATCTGCTTTGTTTTTTCTCCCACGGATCTAATGTTAACCACAAATTTTGTCCTCCTGAGTTTTCGTCATTTTCCTATCAATAAGTTATACTTCCCTAAATTACAGGGAAGAGAAATCAATTGAAACAGTCGATAAGCTCCAAATCTCTGCAGTTTTTTGAGCTTGTAACACGAAATGAAGCATGGAGGAGTTCCGAATGCAGTTACTTCTTTCGTGGCAGTATTAGTGTTTCTGCAGTGCTCCTGCTTGTCAGCCGAAGTGGTTACGTGTTCTGGAATAGTGCCGATGGTATACCGGAACGATAAGATATCAATAACTGATTTTGGCGGTGTCGGAGATGGGAGAACGTCAAATACGAAAGCTTTCAGGGAGGCGATTTACCGGATTGACCATTTGAGGAGGAGAGGAGGGACGCTTCTTTACATACCTCCTGGTGTTTATCTAACAGAGAGCTTCAACCTTACTAGTCGAATGACTCTGTATCTAGCCAGAGGTGCTGTTATCAAAGCTACACAGGTACTCAATTAATTGCAACTTTTCCCTCTCGATTAATTGCAAAATCCCAACAATCTGATTGAAACCTAATTAAACCTGAACGCATTTAATTGCAACTCAAGAATTTGGAACTCAACCTCCAATTTTGTAACTTAGAAACAAGTTTCAATCGCTTGAATACTTGTCATTGAAGTGGTTTGTCTCTTCTCAATTTTTGTCGTGTATGATGAGTTTTATGTTCACGGGACTCATTTTTTTTTTTGCTACAAAACAAAGGAAAACCACAAAATATGCACAATGAAAGCAATTGTTTGATGTTCAAGTTGTAGCTTCACACATGTGACCAGTACATCTACAAGTGCAATTCTGCATGTATGTTATGCTAGATGTCTTTTTGAATTTTTTTATTTAGATTAAAGACTGCTGTTTTTAGCTTATGATCACAAACATGCTAACCATACGAAAGGTTTTTTGAATCTTTTAACTTAAATATAGAATCATGTCCTATATTCAAATTAATGGACACATTAGAAGTGATTGTAGAACCAAAGCATTGCTTCTTTTGTTTCCAAATTAATTGCAATTCTTTTGTTAAGATTAAAGTCAAAATGATCTCTTTGTTTGTTTGTGGTCATTACAAAAGAATGATGATCTTAATGCAGAAGATTTTTTTTGTCATGTTATACTGAAAGTATATTGAATATTCAACTATGAGAAGCAACTATTGAAGTACCATGTCCATAAACATATATTATTTATTTTGCATTATTTGCTAGTTGGAGTTGGAGATGCTAATATCAGATACTATTTCCAGAAATAACTTATACTTGTTCTGGATTGTTGCTAATTGAAGTAATGAAATGAGTAAGGATGGTGTGTTTAGAGAATAATACTTTGCCCATATTAATGACCTAAGGATTTCTTAAACAATCGGAAATCTTGGTCTATTAGGGACCCACGAACATATAAAAATACTGAACTTGTTATTTTCTGAATCTGGATTCTGGAGTAGAGCGATGATAAAGTTTAGTGGGTTCCTGTGTTTGCATGCGGGACCTATCGCATGTGCATACACTTGTTTCATTATTGGGGAATAAATACTACAGCTGGGTAAGAGATAGCATTATTACTTTACTTTAAGACTCCCACCTAAAAATAGACATTTTTATTAAGAATTATATTAGAAAAGCATTGAAGAAATTTATTTCTAAACTTGTCTATTTAGCAACTATCGTAAAATAGTAATGATAAGATTGACTGTAACCGATAAATCCTTTTAAGTTTCCTATGAAGAATTATTTGAAAATCTGTTATTAAATCAAATTTGCTACTTAAAATATGGTTTGATTTTTAAAAAGAAGGATTATTAGTTTATAATAATTTTGGGGAGAAGTGGGCTGTGGGAATTTCTATATTCTAAGAAATTTTGGACCATCTTCCCATACTATGGACCGAGTTTTCTGGTGCTTCTGTCCAAGAAATAATTAATTCGAGAACTTACACACTGTACAAAGCAGATTTGGATTCACAAAATATAAAATATAAAATAAGGACCAAACAGAACAATTATACTTTTGGTTTTGGCAACAAGAACGAAAGAAGGAAAAGTGCAACATACTAAGTCATTATCTTTTAGTAGTTTAGACCAATCCAGAATTCCAGATAAACTGAGTAAAAGTAAAACTTGATGAGACTTGAATTATAACATGTGTATATAGATGAACTATGAGATAATTTGTTACTTTTATTAGTTGTGTTGAACATTTATGTACATGTACACATAAGTGCATCCTTGTATCATCAACTTTCTAAAATCTGCTGGGGATCCATGTTGGATGCATCACACATGTTTGCATCATAAATTTCATACAAGTGTTAAAAAGAACTACTTGTATTGTCATATGCACGCCTATTTACATTAAAATCAGGTCAAATCATACATTGAAAATGTAAAAATAATATCTTGATGTTGATGTGTGTGAGGATGATATTAACAAGTGTGTTTGCATTTTTAGCCTACCCAGAGGCAAAGACTACTTGCCAAATGTCTTTTAACTGTTTGAAACAATGACACAACAAAAGAGTTTTATAGACCACAATTAGTGGCACTAGCAAAGAGGGCTGTACCTCAATGTTAAACTAACTCAACCTCAGTACTATAGGTTAACACGTGTTCTTGGTGTGTTATTGGTGCAGATTCGAGAAAGATCATAGCTTGATTTTGAGATGATTGAAAATATCTATCAGAACTTGCTCGATATAGCAAGTTTGTTCGAATAACTTGAAAATATTTAGTAGAACTATATGTGATAAAACAATCTTGATTCATGCTCGACCCGAGGATATACAACAAAACTTGACCATAAGTACATGCATAGTACTCAAATAAGAATTCATATTACCTTCTTATAAACTCTAAATCAACTCGTTTCGAGTTTGTATTTGTACTTAAACTCGAACTTGAAATCGGTAACGTTCGACTTGATCAAGTGGAGCATTGATAGAAAATTGTTTCAGAAGCTAGTTTTTCAGCTAACTTATTAATCAAAAGCTATTTTTCAGCCAACAGCTAGGCAGCTAGTTTGCCAAGTATAGCCTTAGTTTTTACCGTTCCTATTGTTCATGCTTTAGGACACAGCAAACTGGCCTCTGGTTGCTCCTTTGCCTTCTTATGGAAGAGGGAGAGAACGTCCAGGAGGAAGGTACATGAGCTTCATCCATGGAGATGGTCTCCATGATGTGATTATTACCGGTACGCTTGTTCTTCAAATTGTCATGTAATCAAGCTTGATATTTGCACCAAAATCACTATCCTTTGCATACTGTATTGATCCAATCATCCTTTGTCAGGCGAGAATGGGACTATCGATGGCCAAGGCGACGTTTGGTGGAACATGTGGAGACGGAGAACCTTGCAGTTTACTCGACCAAATCTTGTGGAGTTCAAGGATTCTAGAGGCATCATCATTTCTAATGTCATCTTCAAGAATTCACCTTTCTGGAACATTCACCCTGTATACTGCAGGTAATGAGTAACCACCACTGAAATTGGGTATGAAGTGTTTTTCCACAAAATTTTACAGATTGCCTATGCAACGTCTAGCATAGTTGGTTTTGAGATGGTATACTTGGATAAACATGAAAGGGACCGAGTCTATTAGCCCAGTGTCTTTGGGAATTGGGAACCTTGTGGGAAGTAGGCTTAGAGCTAGCCAATAAGTGGACTGCTGTGTACCTGATTTGCCTCTAACATGTTACTCTTAGGGTGGGCCGATCTGGTGTGGATCAGCTAGCAAATTGACGGTTAAAAAACCCTATTGCACAAACATAGCTGAATAAAGTGTGAGAATTTTACTGACTTCGTCTATTTTTGTGCATATACAGCAATGTTGTCATTCGGTATGTCACGATATTGGCTCCAGCTGACTCTCCCAACACTGATGGAATTGATCCAGGTACACCATATGAAAATAACCATACGTCTGTTTAGACCATTATCCTTTTGCGCTAAATGGTAAGAAATAGAGTTAAGGTGGATGAAATGCCTATGTTCAAGTAGTTTGAGAACATGTGCATCCAATACTATACCCTTTTGTTTGCAGTTTTCAGAAGGCAGAGTAGAAAATGTTCCATAAGAAAGATATTTGTGGTGAAACCAGTAGGACTTTGACAGACATACAACGGCAAATGAATGTCGCTACATGGAAAAAACATTAGAAGCACAAAAAAGAAACCTTGTAATCATTCTGTGGATGCAATATCTATAGATACCAATACAAATGTTAGGGCCTGTTTGTTAGTAGCTTAATGAGCTTAATGAGGGACACACCTTATTCGGTCAGCTATACATGACTGTTTGGTAGTGGCTTAATGATATAGAGATGTGGCTTATTCAATTAGCTTCTAGGACGGAGCTTTATGCAGAAAGTCCAAGTTTTTCCCAAACCTATCTTTGCCAATTAAAAAAATAAACTCCTTCCATCTATGAAAAACCTTCCCAAACAAAAGTATTCTCAATCTATACGGATAAATTAATCTATACAGACAACTTTATTCATACAGAACTTAATGGAAAACCAACCAAAATTCCTCTTAGCCTGTTAAAATTTTGACTTAAACAGATAAATGGTAATTGTAGACAGAAAGAAATCTCTAGCTATCTATCTAGCAAAATAAATCTTAGACCTTTTGATGGGATTTTCAGGCTCTTACCCTTGAAATAGGGAATTTCTCGTTTAAGTTGGTATTCACGACGTCTTAATAGTAGTAACTTTGCACACCAATCCTTGTCAGCATCGGACTCTTAAGCCAACCACCTAGGGGGGCCAGACTGGCCAGTGTATATCTACTTTGCCTTACATGATAATTAGTTACTTTTTCTTATTTTTTTTTTCTCTTGTTTTGTGCACCATGTATATGCTGATCTTTATTCCTGTTACCTGTTAACTAACACTCGTGCACAAATCGGATCTCTTCATCGAAACAACCGCTATACCTTTTGGGTAGGGTAGAAGTTACGTCCGCATACATCACACCCCTCCCAGACCCAACTTTCGAATGAGATTTACTTTGTCCATTTGGTTTGGTTTGGTTTTATAATGCTTTTGGGTGAGGGCGGGGCGGTGTGGGCCGGCTCAGGGGCCGGTTGTAAACTCTTTTTTGCACACCCAATTACTCCTTTCTTGTATTGATGCAGATTCAAGCTCCCATGTTTGCATAGAAGACTCCTATATTTCTACTGGAGACGACCTCGTGGCCGTAAAGAGCGGATGGGATGAATATGGAATTGCTTACGGTCGTCCTAGCAACGACATAACCATCCGACGAATCACCGGATCCTCTCCGTTTGCCGGTATCGCAGTCGGAAGCGAAACTTCCGGAGGGGTAACAAACGTATTAGCAGAGCACATAACCCTTTACAACAGCGGAATTGGAATCCATTTAAAGACAAACATCGGTAGGGGAGGGATCATAAGGAACATTACCGTTTCCGATGTTTTCATGGAAAACATGCGTAAAGGAATCAAGATTGCCGGAGACGTAGGCGACCATCCTGACGAAAACTACAACCCAAATGCTCTACCAGTTATGAAACACATTAGGATTAAGAATGTATGGGGTGAAAAGGTCCTGCAGGCTGGTGTCATCCAGGGTCTAAAGAACTCTCCCTTCACCGACATTTGTTTGGCTAACATCAACCTCCGTGGGTCAAGTGGTCCGAGAAATGTTCCATGGAAGTGTTCTGATGTGAGTGGTGGTGCTAGTCAAGTTAGCCCATCACCCTGTGCAGAGCTCATCAGCAGGAGTCAAACGGGTGCGTGTTCCATTCCTTTCTAAATGTGTTTATGATCACTTAAACCCTGTGTAACTAACATTGTAATATTTAATTGATTCCTTTTTGCAAACACTTTTTCGCAAGATGGGTATTTATGAAAACAAGTGATTTGATTTTGTTTGTTTACCTCTTAATAGTTCTATTAAGAGGCAACATCTGAATCGTTAAGAGGTGAATTTTGTTTGGCAAAAAAAAAGTCTGTCTCTTGCTGGTTTTAAATCCCTCTGAATGATTTTGTATCATGTATCTCTCTTAACCATTGAGAGCCTTAATTTTATTGTATACAATTACCAAACAATTATATTTCATTTTGTACTATATCATTAGAGCTTCTTAATCATTATGACCCATTGATCATTCTGCACCAAATCATCCAGTAATTGCCAAACATCCCCTAAGAGGACAAATATAAGTACATTCCACCATGTCGACCCGACTTTCGGGTGGAATATCTTAAAGGGTCGTTTATCAAACATTAAAGGGAAATCAACCTCTTATTTGTCTTTTATTGTTCTCCAAACCCTCAACAACAGTGAATCTTAATGGATAAACCTTAATCGATCCTTTCTCTTAGTCGATCCTTACCAAATCGATCCTCATTTCTCTCAATTGATGTATTTTAGTAGGATTTAAATGTTTTAAATACCGTCAATGATATATTTTTGTCTAAATAGATGCTAATTATATAATTTTGATGTAAATTTTGTAATGGTGATGAATAAATATGTGAAATTGTATAAATATATTAATCAATTCAACACTATAATTTTCTAACGAGTAAAATACATAATTTAAACAAATTTAGACATTTATCGGTTTACAAAAACAAAGAGTCTTATTGATTCAGATTTTAGATTTTTACATCATCTCCTATCAATCAATAATAAAATAAGACTTCAGATTTCAAGATCTCTTAAAAATTAAACTTCAACTAAGTTTTTCCAAATGAAGTTTTTAGTTGATGAAATTGTAAATAATCACACATGCAACCGCATATAATTTTTATAGAATGGGGGCAATAAAAACCAATAAATTTATTTGGGTAAAAGGGGTTTGCAACCACTAACTCTCGGACAAGTGCACATGTGAATTAAAGTTCTACTTATTCTTTATAGATAAAAAAAATTGTGTTAAATTATTTTAATAAAATATTTAATTTAATATTTAATATTATATATATATTTTAAAAATTATTAATTAATTAGGATAGATGAAGTTAAACAAATTTTATATTTATTCATTTTATATGTAATGGTTATTTAAAATTATATATTAAAAGTATATATTTTTTAATTTGTTTTAACAAATCCAAAATTATGATACTTCATAATAAATTTATAATTTTTTAGTTAACATATTATATTATTTTAATTTTTATTTACTATCTTGTTTGAATTAATATATTACTAGAAAAGTGTTCGTGCAATGCAGCGAGATAAATCTTAATTTTAATGTTTAGTTTTTATTCTGTCTTTATCAATATAATACGATTTTATGTGATTTTGAGAACGCGATAATGTTTTTATTTTTTGAATGAAATATAAATTTTAAGATAACATAAAATTTTGAAAAAGTAAATCGATAATTAATATCATATTAACTATTTAATAGTTCCCGTTTTTTTTTGGTGTGACTTCTTTAATTAAATTTTTTATTACAATTTAATTTAGATTTAATAACAAAGTAATTTATTTTTGGTTTAATAATATAATTTTTTACAAAAATAATAATTAAACATTATGTTAGAACTTAACGGTTATTTTGATTATATTTTAGATTTTTCTATGTTTAAAATGGATGTTTATCTTGTATTTGATTATGTTTATCTGTAGTTAGTTACACAAATTTAGAATTGAAGCTTTAATAAGTTGTACTTACGTAAAATTACTTGTAATCTTGAATTTTAAGTAATATGCATCAATAAACAATATTTCATGCATAAAAATGGTTTTTAAGAGTTTTTGTCAAATGTTCTATAATATAGTATAGATATATATATATATATATTATTAAATGATTGTGTTAATTATATTATAAAATATTGTAATTGAATAATTTTTCAATATATTTTTTGATCATTTTACATGCTTATTAGCTATCAAGTAGCTTATCAACTGCCCAACATAGTCTTAACTGATAATAAGTGAGGATAATAATTTTTGTCGATAATCATTTACATGATAAGATTTACAGTCCTTTAAGTTTTATGGCTTAATAAAAAGCGATATTCTAAAATTTATGGTAAAAAGAACTCTAAATAGTTGTCACCATATTTATTTTCCCTCTTCTACCTCTTAAAATCTAAAAGGAAGCAACTCATAAACTAAACAAATAATAAAGTAGATTTTTTAATACAATAATATGAGGTACAAATTTGCCCCTTGTAAGATGTCACAAAAGATTTCACGTTTTAAAAGTAATCAATTTTAATGTTTAGTTTTTATTTTGTCTATATCGATATAATTATATTATTTTATGTAGTTTTGAGAAATTAATAATGTTTTTATTTTTTAATAAAATATAAATTTAAAGATAATATAATTTTTTTAAAAGTCGATATGAGTATCAAATTAACTATTTAATAGTTCTTGTTTTTTTATATAACTTCTTTAATTCAATTTTTATTAGTAATTTAGATTTAATAACAAAGTAATTTAATTTTGTTTTAACAATATAAATTTTTATAAAGATAATAATTAAATATTCTGTTAGAACTCAATGATTATTTTAATCATATTTTATAATTTTTTATATTTAAAATGAATATTTATCTTGTATTTGATTATATTTTATCTATGGTTAGTTGCACGAATTTAAAAATGGAGATTTGATGTACTTACGTATAATTCTTTGTAATATTGAATTTTAAGTAATATGAAGTTCGATTATCATGCAATTGCAATCCATCAAAAACAGAAAACACTTGGATTGATGAATCAGCTAAACATGGTTGCTACATCTCCAATGGATGCAATTTGTTATATACAGTTACAGATACAATTATGATAATATGAAATAATTCAATAAGTGATTAGATACATATATAAATAATATATACATTACTTGATGCGTGGATATGGTGGATCGATCGACGATGATTCATCAATCAAAAGTGTGTTTCAGAAACTTGCGAATGCTCTTCATGAATCCGGCTTCCTCCTCTCTCTTCTTCAGTTTCTGTTGCCGTACTGAACTCTTCAGCTTCTCCCGATCGAACACTTGCTTCATGTTGTCGTTGTTATTGCGGTTGTTGTTATGGTGGCGACGGGGACCGTAATGATGCTTCACCTTAAACCAGTTCGACTGGATCTCGCCGCGGGAAGCTTTCGGATGATGGAGATTATCCATTCTGTTGGGGACGACGTCGTTAGCTTTCGCATGATGGAGATTATCCATTCTATTGGGGACGACGACGTCGTCGTTTTTCTCGGATACGTCGGTCCTAGGGTTCTTGTGTTGCGGCAGTGGATGAGGATGCCGACAAGTGCGACGCTGTTTTCCGATCGGCTTTTGGCCCCGAGGAGGTACTTTCCCATGAAAATGTCGATTAATGGGATGGAATCTGGAGAAATTCGCTCGTGGCGTTAAATCATTAGTAGTTTTTTCCGGTTCAGGCAGGTGACTGTTGGCGGTGGTTTCATCGAAATCTGAATTAGCTTTCTCGCCAGGGAGAAGAATGTTTGAATCTGCAGATTGGTGAGAAGCCTTGGAAACATCCTCACTGCCGACGGCGGAAGGGTTGGTTAATGGCGGATCCACCGCGAGGCGAGCGGCGGAGACGATGAACAATAAGAAGGTGAAGAAGGTGAAGGCAGCGATTTTGTTTTCCATGATTTTGGGTGTGGTGTTTGGTGTGTCCATGGGTGGGGGGAGAAAAAGGACGTGGGTCATGACGGGCAGTTTTCTGGGTCAAAACGGGCAGCGGGCAGTATGGATTATCGTCCAGGTGGTTGGGATTATATCTTCCAAATTTTCTTGACCCACGAAAATTTGTGCATTTTGTGCGTTTTATAAAAAAGTTAAATATTTCTTTTAACAAATTAAAAATTATTTATATATTAAATCTTTTTACATAAATTCTTAACCATTTAAGACTACATTAATTATGAAATACTAGTTGTATACCCGCGCAATGCGGCGGGATGTAAAAGTTCATTAAAGTTTATTCAATTGTAAAATATCAAATTCTTTCAAGATGTCATAAAGCCTACAACATTTGTACTTACAGTAGATTCAAATAACCATCTATGCGAAATGTTGGTGTTAGTAGCTTCTATAATCATTCGTACAAAAATAAACCTTTTATGTGGAATGTGTATAATAACAAACCCCTTTGTAATTGTAGTTATAGGTGGAAAGAATATGATTCATTTTTCGTAAATCCTTTCTAAGGCAATATATCCAAAAAAAAGTTACAAGCATTAAATATGTGGTGATTTAAATCATCTTTTTGGATTTTGGGTCATTCCCATTCCAAGTCAATTTGTATTCATAAAGATTGAAAATTAGATCATACATAACCTAATTTTACAAAAAAAAAATGTGTACCCAAAATATATTTGGAGTATTTTTTTAAATGCGACTTAATTCTATACCCTATTATATTTGATGACATGTCTCAACATATTGTTTTAAAAACTGATCAAGATCAACCTTGTMATTAAAAGTTTGTCGAATGACAAAAGGAAACACTAATGGTCCATTTGATTTGATGTAATGTTTTTGAGAGATTTAGGGGGTGTTTGGATTGCTTATAAAAACAACTTACTAACTTATTTCAGTGTGACACCAGTAATAAGCATTTTTGAGTGTTTAGATAAACAACTTATACCAGTGCCAAACTGGTAATAAGAAGTTTTTGAAGAAGTTAAATCTTTTGAACTTATAATAAGTTGATAAGTGCATTTATARAAAAAYATAAGTTGTTTCAAATAAGCAATCCCAAACACTCCCTTATATTTTATTGAAAGATTTGAAATCGGGGGATTTGAGATTTTATTAAATGATAACTTTTCAAGATCATATGCATCACCAAACAAATTGCAACTTCAGATATCATAGTTAGCATTTGGGAGCACAAAAAGCCAAAAAGTGATGTCTTAAAATTCAACTTATTTAATTCAATTCTTAACCAGATTTTGCCTCATTCCTAATTTAAAACAACAACAAGCCATCACATGTAATTGTTCCCTAAATCTTCGATATTTTTATATAACAAAACTTGTTAAATAAATATATTCAACTACAAAGTGAGTTCATTGACAACAATTAAATCTGGCCAGGATTGCAAAGTGAGTTCATTGATTTGAATACATACATACAATAATCATAGACAACTTGTTACCAATCAAATTTAAGATTGTTTTTAAAACTTTTATAACATCTGGTTTATA